TATTATTGAAAACGTTCACTTGCACTCGGCGGGGAGAACAGACTGCTCAATTAACGCGGCGAAATTATACATTTATGCTGAGAGGTAAATAATCTGCTGCCCAGTGTTGTTGAACCCATCATACCACCGATCTTATTCCAGTCGACACCTCTATAAACACACTTGACGAATCAAAGGGCCATTTGAAAAGGGTTAAAATATTTTTTTCATTTGTTATGAAGTAAAGCCAAATTTTAAAATTTACAATTATCAATATTCCCACAAAACCATTCTAGATTTTTCATAATAATTTAATGTTATGCATTTTTATAAACCATCGTTTTTACTTAATATCAAATCAAGGAAGTCTATTTAAAAAGATATATAATAATTTTTCCTTAGAGTAAATATTTAATTTTTCCAGGAAAGAGATCTGAATTAATTAACATAATTTTCTATAAATAAGTTTAATTTTGTGTTTTTTGACCTTTTCAACCTGAGGCAGACTAAAATTATCTCATTTGAATTTGAGATGAGGAATTTTAAGACGACTTAAGCTGCCATTGTGATATTTTGTATAGAAAAATCCGGCTCTATCGCAAGAGTGACGAAGTAGATCCTGATCGTTGCCAGAGATGAGTCTGGTCCAGCCAAGGTCACCTTAGTCTCTCCGCATTGTAGGTCACTGAGAAATATCTTCCTTTTCACGTGTGTGTGTGTGTCTGGTGTGTGCCCTGCCTTCCTTCTTCTCGGATGCCTCTTTCGATTAATAATCGCCGCCTAATGAAAGCCGGCCGACCGAGCGTTATTAATGAGACGCAGGCGAGCTGATGGTGATGGAAAACTGGTCTGCGTTGCGTGTAATAATAATAATGCACCAAGAAATAATCATCTCGCATCACTGTCCGTGCCTCGGACGAGAAACGACGGACGCCGGGTTGATTTATTGTGCTCCGCATATCTTCCGAGAAAATGCCTTTTGAAGCAGCAGCCACTTCCAATGGGGCATGAGCGGAGCATCGCCAGGCTCATTTCCCTCCAGATTTTATCGCCAACATAAGAACAGATCGTTCTCCTGCATTAAAATCACCCTAGGAGTAAAAAAATATATTTAAATATATATTTTAGAAGGTTTCTGGGAAAAAAGCTGAAAAGAATATTTTGAAATCCTTTATTTAAAAACTACCCTCAAAGTAAATTTTCAAAACCTAAATGATATTGAAAAGATTAGAAAATGTGCCAAACAATGCTCACAGCATCAAATTGGGTCTTCTTTATCACTGAAATTTTAGAAATAGTAATATCTTGCTCATGGTGTTACTTTTTCGTTTTAAAATCCAACAATTCAATTTAATTCTAGCAAAAATTTGCTGATCTTTTCAAAATGTAAAATTTTTGTAAAAAATTTAATAAATTTTATATTATTTTCATACTTTTTTTTTACAAATTTCTTTCTGAATTATTATTATTTGAAAAATATATTGTTCATTTATACTGAAATTTGTAATGCTGTAGAAAAATCTGCTTTGGTTTCAAATTTATCAGTGATATTTTGGAAGTTACTTAGCTTAATACATATTTTAATTAACTCAACATTTCAATTTTGATTGAAGTTAATGAATACTCTCAATGGAATGAAAGGAATCCCGCAAAAATTGCATTTCCCTTTAAGCAATTTGGCTAATTGAATAAAACCTGAAAATCATCGTCGCTGTCATTACAATCCACAAGCAAAGTTAGCTGTAAATATGAAAAGTGCAGTTCGGGACAGAATTTAATGCTGAATTAAAACGTGTGCCGTTAAATGGCAAACGGTGGCAAACACCGGGGATTCACACGCACTAGCAATTGGCGGACTCATCATGAAATGTAACAATTCGCCTCTTCTCTGCGCGCGTTTGAATATGTACGGTAAAAATTTGCATCAAAGAATACACATGCAGGTGGCTCTCTCTTTCTTTCTCGGCCAATATGCGCGCCACTTTGCGCCAGCACGACTTATAAATATATTCTCTCGATAATAAAGCAGCACACTCGTGAAATCGCATTCCTCGGTACTCGATCATAATGCAAACGAGCTGTGAGAATAATTCGCGTGTAGAGAAACTGCTGCTACTTAAAAAAAAAAACTAGCCGCGATTATAATAACAATAATAATATCCCAGGCGCGGGTAAAATGGTGTTGCATAACTGTTTCTTCTGTCGGCGTGTGTGGATTTCGAGTGTGTGTTTTGTAATTGCGCAGCAGCAGCAGCAGCAGCAGCAAAATTATTGAAAAACATGAAAAACTTTCGGCTCTTTTATTGCCAGCTTGCGTGTCCTGCTGGGATAAATTAATGAATTTCGTAGTCAGCCGCGTGTGTGCGATCACAAAATACACTCGCCAATATTAAGCCTGATGCCCGCCAGCCAGACTAGCTTCTGAATTTAGCGTGAAAATTGAGTACAGGCCTTTTACCTTTGCGTAATCGGCAACATTTCCAACCTTGATTTGTTCTGAAGAATTGTAAAAATGTTAAATGTTGCATGAGATGTCTATTCCTCAGGATTTTTCGCAATGTTCTCAATCATTTATTGCACGTTATATTAAAATAATTGAATTACTCGTTTATATCAAGATTTCATTTTTTTTTTAAATTTGTTTGAATAAATTAATTACCGTTCCAATTCTGAATTGGAAAAAACTGGTTATTACTTTATCAATTTCGTTAGTAATTTTATTGTAATGAATGCTCATAATTCTCAATTACACTTTTTTTTAAATATCTACTTAATATTACTACTAATTTTTAATTCTAACCGGATATTTTAGATGGAACATTGAAAAAAGAAGGGCTTGCTAATTTCCTTTCAACCTCGAAAGAGTTCACATATTGCCGTGTGAGGCGGAAATGAGATGGAAAGCAAGCCGCAGCAATTTCGATGCAGAACTATAAAAAATGTTGATGCTCGCCGTGTGTGTGAGCGAGTCGCGGCCTGTCTGCCTCGGCGGTGCAATGTTATTATTATTTTCTCTGTTTGCGGCAATAAAAGTCGCGCCGTGATTCCCAGCAATAAAACTTCCTGTTGTTCCTTCTCATCATGGAAGAATGAAAAAAACGCTGCCACCGGGGCCGCCACTTTTTTATTTAGTACTTGACAAAGTGCATTCAACGCCCTTTGATTTCGGTGACCCGGATCGCAAGCTTCGTTGGAGATTTGCTTCGGAGTTTTGACAGAGAACCGATCAGTTCTTGTGCCGGCAAATCGCGGCTCATTATGCCCGTTTCTCACGCAAATAACCGCCGATGAGAAAAAACGGCGCGCGGACCGTTAGTTATCGGCCACTCAGCTCTGCTCCTCTTTCCTTCGAAACGTCCAATAAATTCCTCCGTAAAATGCAGCAACTTCACGATTTTCACCATTATTAATATATGGAAGTTCCGAATGCTTCCATTGCATTCAAAATCAATGGTGAAATAAAACAAACTCAATTTGAAATCAACATTTCCAAATATTAAAAACAAAACAAAATTTTCTAATATTTACAATTAAATCTAAATAAATTCATTTTATATCAATTAAGTTCATTTTATTTTTATAATATTAAGCAATATTTTAAAGCAGGTATAAGAATATTGCTCTAATTTAATTATGCTATTAAAAATATAATATTTGTTCAATTTTTTATGCTCAACACAAATATTTTGCTAGGAAAATTGTCTTGTAAAGGAGTTTTCCAAGAGTTTGGAAAGGCATTAAAATTTCTTGCATAATAAGCTCTGGGTTTTTAGAGATCAAAAACATGTTGTGAACAGCTGGGTATTTTGATTATTTTGACTTCATCTAAAGAAATGTACCTTCACTTTGACCATTTACGATAGAAAAGATTAAGTTAAAATTTATCTCAAGATAATGTTGGAAATTATAAATAGCATCGTCGATTTCAACAGAGCGTGTAGTGTTGGAAATAATGGAACCGTTCATTTGTCTCTGCTTTAATCACCGAGCCGTCAACTTTGAAATTAGTAACTCTGCTGCGTATATTCCATTAATGTGAAAAATGGATTGTTCTCCAGCGAGATGAGGATAATTAAGCTCTTCCTGTTAATCAGACGCATACATTTATGGCCAGAAAGATCGAGGCGTCCAAAAGTACCGTATGGCTCAATTATTTATAGTTTGAGGCTCGTGGAATAGTTGATTTTCGTGGCTTGCTCTCGTCCAAAGTTTAATTTCACTTATACTCAAAAGTTGCCATGGAAAGAACTCGTTCAATATCTCAATTCCTCTCAATTGGTAAATAAAATCCGAAAGAGCTGCGAGGACTTTCACCTCTCGCTTTCTCTGCCAAGCGACTTCTCACAACATCGGACAAACTTGCGCGAGACTGGCCCTTCAAATGTGCTTCATTGAGCTTTTACAAAATTTGGAAGCGCCGCGCCTTGCTCTAAATCGGAGAAATATTTAATAAATTTAAAATAAAAAAAAGCACGTGAGTGTTACTTTCATAAAAGAATAAAGAGCAAAGTTTCTAAAGAGAAAAAAACTCGGTAAAATCTCCAAGGCAATTTTGGAGAAGCAACATTATTTTTATTACCAACAAAATTTTAAAATTTATGTACAATTGTTATACGTACAATTTATTTATTGATATTTATTTATTCTGATAAAATGAAAGGCAAGTGATTGTCACTGTGAGGCGTTGGCTAGGTAAAAGGATGGTTTTTGCAATTATGTCCTCCGCTGATGAATCACATTTTTGCGAAAAGTCGTAAACCGAGCCAGCATAATAAACATGCAGTTGGTAATTTGACACTCGCACAGAATAATCCTATCATGCGTGCAGCCATATATGTAGGAGCTGGGCTGAGGTCCCTGTTCTCATGTGCAAAAGGTCACGTGAGATTGTGCAGCGAAAACGAACATGCTGGTATATATATTCTAATTAAAACCAGCATTGTTTTTCTATTTGAAAAATCACCTGTCACAATGATCTATAGCTAAGGTTGTTTAACCCTCAATTTTGATTTTTGTTTCAGGGCTCTGATCCTCGCATCGCAACATGCAGGGGCAAACTGCAAAACAAACGGTCCAAGTTGAACCAGGAGATCAACAAGGAGCTGAGACTGAGGGCAGGAGCCGAAAACCTCTACAAGTAAGTCTTGCTTTTTTTATTATTCAAATTAAATTTTTTCTTCACATTTTTTGCTGTTTATTGAAATTAACAAAGAAAAAAAATTACTTTCCCTGAAATTTGGAGATAAATAGTGCAGTAGAAAAAATATTGAATGTTCTAGTTGATGATTGTTTTATTTTTAAATAACAAAATTTTGCGTAAAAATTAAAATTCCACTCATAAAACTGCCTTTCGAATGGACATTCAACATTCCAAGCACTCTGCTTCAATTAAATTCACCACTCAAGCGGATGAAAATGAATTTGATTAAGTGAATTAGCATTGCACGAGTGTCTCGTCGACGAATCTCTTTATTGTAAGCAGCTTTCTTTCTTTCTTTCTTTACTTCAAATCTGCAGCGCTTCGCCTCACATGCTCAAATCACACTCCTCTGTGGATGCGGCTGTGTGTAAATGTGTCTGCACTTTCGAGCAAAGGATTGAGTTTGACAAGAAAGCTCTTTGTCCACGTGCTTTTTGTGCGGACACGGCACATGCCGAGGAATCCTTTGTGGTGCTCCCATTCCAATTTTTTTTTTACCGCGACACGAGACGCACTTCATGTGCCGCGCGCTTATTTTGTTGGACGAGGTCCAAGCAGGCCGCTCGAATTAAAAATTATTTCAAAACAAACGCAACTTTCTTTTTTGTTCATTTAGGAAGGTAAAAGGGTGCTGGAAAACGAAACCAAGTCAAGTGCATTGAGAGTTGCGTTTGAGGTCTGAGCCTTTCAAGGCTGTCCACAGAGATAACGCGTTCAAAGGTATAGCGGTGCAAAGGTCGTAAATACACACATGACAGAGCGTCGGTTGGGCAAGAGGATGCACCGTGATAAGGAAGGCAGCCGCGCACTCATTTGCATTGAAAATTATATTCGCTCCGCATCCTGCTCGACCTCTCTGCAGAGCTATTACAAGGATATGTTTTCCTCTCAAAGGATGAAAAATAAAACAATATGAACCTCGAGATTCCAGGAAAAGTTTTATTAATCAGTTGATGCGTACAGACAAAAATTTCCCTGCGGGCGCTGAGGAACTGAACAAGTAATTTTTTTTCTGAAAATAAAACAGAAATCTAAACATACGTTAAAAGGTTACTATTTCAAATAATTTGCTAAGTGAGCATTTTGATGGACGAGCCAGAAATAAGAGAAAATTCATTTATCTATAATTATTATTATTTATTCTTCTCAGTCCATAAAAAAATTTGCGATTTGAAAAGAGAAGAAAGGGTTTACAACAGCAGATGTCTGCTAAAAAACACCCAAAATCAAAATAACGTATTGTTTTAATAGATCCTGATTTAATCATAATATTATTATACAATAACTACCTGGTTCTGTGATTTAATTTATTACAATGAGCCAGAGACAATTGGAGTATTGACAGTTACAGCTTTACAGGCCCAAAGTAATTGTATTTTGATAAATATATTAAAATTTTATTTATTGATGCAAATGTTTTTAACATAAACAAACAATAAACTTTGAAAATATATAAAATCCAATAACTAATTTTTAACCAAATATTTTTAAATAAATATAAAAAATTATTTTAATTAATACTACATAATTTTAAAAAATATTTAAAGCCTAGAGAATAATCACAATTTGCATTTATTTTTAATATGTTATTTGTAAAATAAGAAAGTCCATTGTGTTGTACATGCTTGTAGGCGTGCAGATAATTTGCATTAATTGGCCGCCCAGCATGGATTTTGAAAAGGACGAAGAAAGTGCCGACGAATCGAGAGAGTGTGTTGTTGTGGAACGGCGAAAACAAACAGTGTGGAAGATTAAAGGATTGTTTTGTTGCTGCTCGTGATCACACAATCTTTCTCTCTCTCCAACTCGGCGACTCCCGTCTGTAGGTCTGTGTGAGAGAGAGAGACCGATGCTCTTTAAATATAACGGGGCGGATAAGAGATTCGGACCGAGTTCCGTTTTGTTTGCAGTGACAACACACGCGCCGAGAGCTGCGGCGCGGCGGCGAAAAGCGATTCGCCGTTTATTCGAATACACGCCACATAAAAACTTGTTCTACAAGCAGAGCACAATTACGTAAGCCGAAAAGCAGCGGCGTTGAAATTGAATTGCCATTTAAAGCAGATCGTCAAAATTAGCCGCGCTAAGGAAAGCAGAGGCACACGTGAATTTTTATAAACAGGAAAGTTTTATATATTTCTCAACCCGTTATGTTGAAAACGAGTCGCAATTAAACAGTCCGATCGGCAGAAGCGTTTTTCAAAACTGTAAAAAAATATCATATCATTTGAGCCTGTTTGTGCGAGAGATTTGAGTAAAAATAAAAATAACAAACAGTGGAGTTTCGTTTACAATTAGAACATGAGAAATAAAAAGAGCAATTCTCTTTTGAAGCTCACTTTGAGAGTGTTGCTGCCTCTCTTATGGCAATAAATAGGCCAGAATAATGAGCAAGATTCTCTCTCATGACAAATTTTCGTTTGCTAATCGGAGCGTGAGTCGTCTCGAAATGAGCAGGTAGACGGACCATAGCCCAAAATCAACTCCACCCACAATCCATCTGCCCCAGGGCTCACATTTAAACCTTCCACTTAGGAGGAGCGCGAATTTTCAGCCAAATTATCATCTCCCATAACACAATTGTTTGTTTTTCTCTCAACTTTACCACGCGCAGATTCCAACACTTGCGTAATTCTGGGATCTGTTTCTTAATTTTTTCGCAGCCTCGAGTGTAATTTTCACTCTCGCTTCTCATAATACCTTTATTAAAATTCCTTTGTCTCCTGGCGAATCTCTGATTTTTATTACTTCCTGTCGCGATACAAGACTTTAATTTGCGCTTAATTTCGTGTTTCCAGAGCGACGACGAACAAGAAGCTGAGGGAAACCGTGGCTCTCGAGCTCAGCTTCGTCAACTCGAACCTGCAACTCCTGAAGGAACAACTGGCCGAGCTTAACAGCTCCGTCGAGGTGTACCAAAAAGACAGGTGATTATATACATTGATCTTTTTTTTCCATCAACTTTGATTTGTCCCTGACGCAATCTAATTTTAGCACCTTGATTGATGAAAAGTTTTCTTTTCTTGGTAAAGAGAATAAAAAATAGTTGCCTCACTTTCAAGCTAGCGACGCCCACTTTTGTTCACCTGACGAGCACAAAAAGCTGTCAAATATTATAATATAATCTCCTGGTAGACGATTCTATGAAAACTCCTCGGCGCTCTTTCGAGACTTTCGCCGCTTCACGGCCCGAAATGAGCATACATGAATAATATATGCGTGTAGATATTACACCGGCCGGGCGCCGAGGTGACGCAACAAATAATAATAATGGGTGACCCACTCGAGAGTGTGTATAGTATGCCGTGGTGCTCATTTCCAGCCTTGCGCTGGAGCAGCGGCAGGTGAGCTCCAATCTGACCCAAGTGACCCACATTCCACAAGAATATAAGTGGCGGCGACACACAAACTCCAAAGATTTCCATCTCCTCCATCAGCAACTTAACTATGCAAAAACTTGTACACAAGAATGATGATGATCTTGAAAAACATTTTCCTATAAAAGGTTTAATTAATATTTAAATTGACTGAGGCTATTTTTTAATTTATATATATTTCATTAATTTATGCAAATTAAAATTGGTGAGATTACATACATTTTTCCTGAAAGTTTTTATTTCAGTGATAGTGAATTGCAGTTCTTGTCTTATTTATTATGTAAATATGACAATTTCGGTTAATTTTCTGTGTTTATTCATCTTGGGATTTGTTGAATAATATTACAACATTGCTTAATTTTGTGTTTGCAGTTCCGAGCCAACGATGCCAATGATCCCGTTGGGCCTGAAAGAGACGAAAGAGATCGACTTCAGGGACCCGTTCAAGGTACAAAAGGGGGGCTTCCCGTGCAGGCAGGCAGGGCAATTAGTTTTTCCATCGATACTTTATTAATGATTGCGGCGTGACGCGGCGCAAATTTCATCTCTCGCTCGTGCATGCATGTGCGTCTTTTTTGTTTGCCTATTGGCACAAAGAGGCCCCATGTATGTGTGTACATACGTGAATGCCGCCGCCGCCAGCGAATATAAGTGGTTCTCGCGCCATTGTTTCGATCGGCGGAATGAGCGAGAAAAAATCATGAAGTGTCGACGCCGCCGTGAAAGGTGATGCCGCGCGATGATTTTCAGTTGATACGCAATTTCAATACTTCCACACGTGAGCAGGCGGCATCATCTCGCAAAAAGCGAGGCGTGGTTGGAAAATGAGAAGAATATTATACATGTCGTAAAAGAGGAGCTAAGAAAGCAGGAGCACGTCATGCTTTGCTTTGAGAATTAGCTTCGGTCTAGCACGTTTGCCTTTGTTGCATTTTACTCAAAATTATTTTTTATCAGGTTCAGACCTGCAAGTAAGGGGAAAATTCCTCTTAATATTTAAAATTTATTTATTAAAGATTTTTTTAAAAAATTCTCTATCAATTTCTTCAATTTTTCTTGTTCATTTTCTGAATTAAGCATTTTTTTGTTTTTAATAATGAAATTTATAAAACTTCTCAATTTATATATAATTGCATTTTAAACGAGAATACTTTTAATTATGTTTTTTCTGTTGCTTTTTATGAAATGCAAATTTTTATGCATTTTACAGGACTTCATCCTGGAGCATTATAGCGAAGATAGCTCTTTGTACGACGACGCCATAACCGAGTTCATGGACATAAGACAGGTGAGGTCGAAGTGTCATGCGAAATACTAATTATCTTACTAATTTGTTCGCTCAAGGCTATGAGAACTCCGCTGAGAGACAATTCGGGAGTGTCCCTGCTCTTTGACTATTACAATCAACTTTACTTCGTGGAAAGACGTTTTTTCCCACCGGACCGCAGTCTCGGCATCTACTTTGAATGGTAATTCAACTTTTATCTCGCGCATATAATTATACGTTTTAAGCACACATTAAAAAGTTTGCATTGTTGAACAAAAGCCTTGAATCTGTGATTTTTTTTAAAGGTATGACTCGTTGACCGGAGTGCCGAGCTGTCAGCGGACGGTGGCTTTTGAGAAGGCGTGCGTTTTGTTCAACATTGGCGCCGTCTACACGCAGATTGGGACGCGACAGGATCGGAAGAGTAGCCGAGGTCTGGACAGTGCAGTGGACGCCTTTCTCAGGGCGGCCGGCACATTCCAGTACATCCACGAGAGCTTCACCAACGCGCCTAGCATGGACCTCAGTCCGGACATGCTCGACATGCTGGTCCAGTTGATGCTGGTAGGATTACTGTTAACTGAAATTCCATGAAGAAGCGGGAGCCAAAAATTATATATCTTCTGTTGAGAGTTATGCAACCGGCAGAATTTGTACGTCAAGCAGATTGCATAACTTTATAATAACGGGAAAAGATTCGCGCAAAATATATAATTTAGTAGAATTTTATTTATTAAATTAAAGTGATTGATTAATTTATAATCTTTTTTTCAAGGCACAAGCAAGAGAGTGCTTGTTTGAGAAACTGGAGCTCCAAAGCCAAGACCTTCGAGATGTAGATGTGTGTCTAGATTTGGGGCAAGAAGCAGCGCAGGTAATGAATTCACTGATAACATTTATATATAGTTAAATTTTTAATTATTATTTCTAATCAATGCTGACGTGTATTGAACAATAAGCTCAATGAATTTGACTTTTCTCATTTCAATTTTTTATTTTTTTATTAATTTAATTATTTTTGCAGGTGGCTGATGCGTACAGCAAAGTTTTCACTTTGATTTCGGTGCCAAGTGTGAAGGACTATGTGGCGACGTCATGGGTGTCCCTAACAACAGTGAAGCAGGAGCACTACCGGGCGTTGTCGCACTACCACGTGGCCTGCGGCCTGCTGAGTCTGCTCAAGAAGCAAAGCAGCCCAAAGAAACACCCAGCGCCGAAACCGCCTACGGCAAAACAGATTTCCGCCGTTGACGTCAACGAAAACAACAACGGCAGTCTCAGTCTGCCCAACAGGACCAGGGACACCCTGCAGTACATACACGCACCGCACCATGAGAATGACAAACTGCAACTCGAAATCAGGGTGCCCAGTGACGAGGCCGAATGCAGATTGCTAGGTTTGAAAATTTATCCTCATTTATTTGTTTTTATATGATATGCAGAATATATTTTTTGTCTGGTCTTATAAAAATTAAATTTATTCTGCATTGGCAGGTCGAGTTCACCTGAGGGAGGCTGTGTTGCGGCATGAAGAAAGTCAGCGCCTGTATAGAATGTGTCGAGAATTGAGAGGCAAGGACGCTTTGCTGGCTGAATTGCGACGAGCCCACCGACGTGCCAACGAAACTTACAAAACTTTGGAAGAGGATGATGATTTCAGAGATATGCTTGACCCACCGCTTATTGTTGGTAGGTTCCAGTCTTAAATTTTTTTTTTAGCTTTCCAAGTCACTTATTATATTATATTTAAAATCATCTCTCTTTTAAATTCAGTATGTTTAATTTAGAATTTCTTTTTCCAGCGTCGACAAAGTTCCAGCTCAGTCTCACGCCTCCTGACTTTGCTCAGTACAGGGTGCAGGACTTGTTCAAGTCCCTGGGTCCTGTGGCGATATTTTCTGCAAAGCATCACTGGACGGTGCCCCGGACCATCCAGCTCGTGTTGCAGCCTCTAGAAAAAGGCGACGGTTTTGGCTTCATGGTGCGCGGTGACGCACCTGTGGTCGTTGCAGGCGTTGACGGAGGCAGTCTTGCAGAGGTGAAATTAAATCAATCATAGTTTTGAGTGTGTTTCAAATTTAACGGTTCAATTCAAAATCAGGCTGCGGGAATGAAACAAGGAGACTTCATAGTGGCCATTGGAGATGAGGACGTGAAATGGTCCATGCACGACCATGTTGTACAGAAAATCAAGGAGGCCAAAAAAGCAGGAAGCTCCCTGTGCTTGAAACTGGTCACTCCAATGGACAGAAATTATTTGAAGGTATATAAAATTTTTGAAATAGCACATATTGTTTTATTTAATGAAAATATAAGCATCATAGCTATTTTTTGAAATTGCCACTGAAATTTAGTTTATTTTTCAATTATAATTACTAAAAAAGTTTTATTCAAATTGATTACAATTTATTATTGTTTCTGTAACTCAATTAGTTAAATATTTTGTAAAATAATTTTAATTTTTACAGCCAAGGACGAGTGTTACAAGCAATAAGGGATCTTTTTCACCAACGTCCACAACGTCGAGTAGTTCCAGTGGTGTCTCTTCAGGCAGTCACAGCCCCCAAGGCAGCGTGACCAGCAGCAGAATGGCAAAATCCACGAGTCATCAGAAGAAGCTGACATGGAACCCTTTCCGAAACAAAACCAAAGCAGATGAGCCCCACGGCTATGATGGCAATGTGATTCTGCGATAGAAAATTTTTCAGACTAGAAATATAAAAATTGCTCAGTCAGGAGGAAGGTCAAGTCGCTGAATCACTATATCGAAAATCAATATATCATTTATTAAAGCCATGAAGTTACCTCGTCGTCATTTTTATAAACTTTGATGTGCAATATAATATGTATTATTAATTATTTTAATGTCGTGCGTTTTGGATTTGCACAGAGAGTGGTCAATCGACAACAGAAATTGCAAAAAGTACCCTGATGTCCCTTGACCGTTTTCTGTCTACAAGGAGGTGTCACTTTTTCCATAAAAGTGGCACTCTCCGACTCATCGTAGTTTTCAAATCATTCATTTAAGATTTTACAAACTCTTGGCAATTATTTGTGAATTAAAAAAAAAATACAAATACAAATTACTGCCAAGCGTTTGTGAATCAAAAGAAACCCACGACAACTTTTATATACTGTAGAATAATTGTAATATTTTGACAAAATGTGCCACATATCGCTGTAGGTTTGAGTTCTCTGCGTATATAAATGTATAAAAACTTGATAATAATTTGCATGGAGCTCCCTGTGTAAGCATTGAACTTTGGAAATATTATTCTTGTCAAATAAAATGAGCATACTAAAGGATGTTTTTTTTTATTTCCTATAATTATATATCATAACAAATATTTCCTAAATCAGGAATTTTCAATAATAATAATTCATTTTATTGTTGAATTTGATTTTTATTTGAAAAATTTTGGCGTTGTTAATTGTTAATCATACAATTAGTTGCAAAAATAGAATCTGCATTACATAAGCCGCTATGTGATAAGGCTTTATATCTCATTTGAATATAGCACTCTTTTGCTTTAAAAAATTGTTTCCAAATCAATTCATTTTATCATAATTATAAGTCTTAGTTATTTGTACAGTGAGTGCTTCGAAAGTACTAATTTGAATTGTTTCTGGACTCTAAAACTTGGGTAACTTGTGCCGTAAGTATTATTTATTGCAGAAATTTCTCCTTTTTTAAGAAAGACACTTAATTTTCCAGTGAAAAGGTCATAATATACTAGAATTTTAATGTGAAAAAATAATTATTCTTAATTCCATCGCCATGATATAAGGCACACATATTGACAGTCATTTGACATTTCTCAGAGCAGAGTGCATTGAGAAAAGGCACTTAGTTCACACTTCTTAATCAAGTTCTTTCATTTTTGATTATATATGGTTTAAATTTTAAATTTGATCAAAGGTCTCATTGGTTTAGAAAGGTGACTTCATCGCCATCATCGATTCAGCGCAGTACACCGGAAGTTGCACCCCTTTCATTAATATGTCGGTGATGCCCTGGAAAAAGGTTGTATTTTCTTAAATCCACAATAAATTCTTCTTCACTCACCTTGATGGCAGGGATGCAGACGGCGAGCGGCGCCAGAAGGACGTACCAGCCGGCGCAGAAGAAGCCGACCCAGAAGCCGATGAAGATCAGCACCAGCAGCCACAACACGAACCAAACTGGGTTTCCTCCACGGCCTGCTCCCATCTCGACTGCTGCAAATTTTTATAAAATTTGTATTTGAAAAACGCCGGAAACAGAGACTCTCTTTATAATTTTCTCACCAACTCGCTAGTTAAAGAACTAACAAAAATCTACGTCAGCAAAGAAGGAGAACGCAAAACCTGACTCGAATACTGACAATGAATTTATAGTCACTTTGCCGTCCAAGTCGGTTTTTATATTTTAAAAAAGCAGCACTGTTGCGATAAAAAGTTAAGGAGGAAAAAGCAAATTGTGAAATTGTACGTGTGGCAAATTATGTCAAGAGCTTTTAGCCTTATGTATGAGTGCAATTGCAATTTGTTAAAAAAAATTGAAGAAAGCTCCAAAAAAATGCCTTTAAACGTGTAGAAATGACACGTTTATTGACTATTTTAATTTTCTCGTTGTACCTCAAATCTCAAATCTTTTTGAAATACAGAATCTTTTTCTTTATAAAAATTTTGTTATAGTTTATATTTAATTTTTTAATTTAATTAAAAAAAATAGTTCTAATTTAATCTACTTGAAAAGGTGTAAGCGGCTTTTTTAAATTGTGTATTTTTCTTCAGATCAATTAAAGCATACAAAATACTCGTAAAAAAAGTTTTCAAGACTTCAAAAAATTGAAGATAATTTATAAAAACGGTTTAACTTTCTTAGAGAGTTTTGTTAAAATTATCAATCAATTAAAAATATTTAGTTCTTATAAACGATCATGAATAAAAAAAAATGAAGATCTTCATTTTTTTTTCAAGTTGAATAAAAATTGTGGGTGGCGTTTTTATATTTTTATTTATAGCAGTTCATATTTTTCAAAGACCCGCGGCTTTCTTTCTGAGGTTTCTCTTGCGTTTATCGTGGAGAGAAGGAGAAACGGAGACCGATTTGCATAACAAATATAATGAAAATGAGCAGCACTACTTCTTGCAGTGCGACAAAAATGAATGAGAATTTGTGCCGAAAAAGGGCGCTCGCGACCAAAATAATGCAGCTTTCAAGAAGGGCGTGCTGTGCATCGAAATAACACACGCACGTGTGCAATGGTAAAAGCCGCTTGTGCATAATAAAAAAAGGAAAGAACGAAAGGCTGAAGTGGCTCATCCCGATAAAGTTTTATTTTTCTCCTCTCGCTCTGGGAGACGACGCAGCATCCGCCGACGCCGCTGGTGAGAAATAAATTCTTGCCCTTGTCAAGATGAAGAGAGGAAACTCTCAAAGGGGAGAGAAGAGAATTTTTAGACATTCGAATATATAACGAGTTGCCTTCATTTGGTTTAGTCTGGGGAGCGCCGCCGCTCGATGAAAATAGAAAAGGCAAACTCGACGCTTATTTGGTAGTTTTTAGTTCTCACAAACAGCCTATATCAAAAATTCTATCTAAGGAAGAAAAGTAAAGTCAGAATTTATTTAAACGAAACATTTCTTAAAAAAAAATTACCAATAGTTGCTATTTATTTGTAGTTATAGAGAATAAATAACCCAAATATACAAAATATTTGTCCAAATCGTTTGAAAACTGTTATATTCTCATTGGGAAAAAATCAATTTTTGGACACGAAAATGTTGAATTAACAAGGATTTTGCAAAAAAAATCTAAGATAAAAAAACGGTCAAAAATTACATCAAAGATTATTAAATGTCAAATACTGGAGTTGATTTTGATGAAAAATTAAAAGAGGAAACTGAACATTTATCACTTATCACGGCATAAAATATAATTATTGAATTACGTGTCACTTATCAAAAGCTCAATAAATGAATAAACACACACGTAAAGCTAAGGTCGCTCCTCGTGATCTCACATTCTTGGAATGCATCCTTATTCTCGTGACAGTCGCGACGCCAGAACGCGATCCCACCGCGGCCTATACAATATCGAGGCGCTTTTTTTCATTTGATGTTTGTGACGCCGGCTTATTTGGAAAACTAAAGTGCACAATATTTGTACAAAATGTGATGTTTTATGACCATGGTCTGCGCGTCCCCAAATCCGAATTCGTTGTGGCATTATGTGTACGTGTGATAAGAGGAAACGTGCTATCAAAGTTCTGAGAGGAAGTAACAAAAAGTGACGCTTTCCTAATAACGTGGAACGAAAGAAGAGTTAGTTTTTCAGCGGATTTAAAAAAAAAAAATTAATAAACTTTGGAAAAAAGTTTGATAAAGAATCATTAATTAATTGTGCTATTTAATAATACTTTTATCCCAAAATAATTTGTTAAATATTAAAAACTCAATTTACAAATCGCAGTCCATATGAAGCTGTCGATTGACTCAGTTGATGAATGAATTTTTATAATTTTTATTATTTTTACAATTATTATTGTCAGTGGTCCTGCTTTTGACGATGAGCCCTGGAGTTCAAGTTAAGCCTGGATAATTATGTAGCTTTAATTTCCTGATTTCAATGAAGTTAAGATAGTTTTTGGGCCATTTAATAATTAATTTTTTACCTGAGAGTAAAAATATTGGTACATATTAAAAGTAAAACCACAAAATTAACCTCTCGAAAGTTCTATGATTTTTGTTTACAAATTATAATTTATTTAACAAGGGTTTCTCAATTTTTTCAAAAAGTTAAAAAAAAAATATGAAAATTCTAAAAGTCCGCCTCAGCATCGGCATAGAAAAGAAAGGCATAACGTATACGGTCGCGTTAGTTAATAGCGTGTGGGTTGAGGTAATAGCTATTTTTGAGAAATTTTCTCATCCACTCCCACAAATGCGAAGCCAACAGTTCCAGCGACCGACTCTCCGCAAGAAAAATACTCATACAGATATTTTGAATAAAAGTACGTTTTTTGCGCAAAATTTATAATATATACTGACCTTAATTGAGGAGAAGAGAAGAGGGTTCTTTAATTGTTTCGATCACAAGAGAAATCGGGGCAGGTGAGGAGGAGACGTTTGTAGTTGGTCAATGAATGAGAAACTTATTATGTGGAGCTCACTCTCGAGCCGACGCAACGAAACGCTTTGACCTTTCTGGCGGAGCTGCCTTCCCCTGACTGAAGTGAAGTGAACGAACCATCGTAAAGCAGCGCCGAGCAGAGAGAAAAATAATCACGAGAAACAACGCCAGCGCCTTTTGAATAACTCTTTCTCATTCATTGAATATTTTGTTCTATCAAATAGGCGCGGCCACTTTCCGTTTTGTGTTAATTAAAATAGGAATTTTAACGAGCAATCTTCTTTTAACGTATTTTTTTTAATTCGATGATTTGTTTTAATTTTTTAATTTTATTGTATTATTTATTCTCAATTCATGTGTAACATGTAACATTAATTTTTTTTTACAAAAATACCTTTTATTATCTTTTATCAAAAACTGAAAATATGTAAATAACTTCTCATGTATGTACTACTGCGATAATAATATTATTGCCTCAATGAAAGAAATTGGTACAATTTTTTTTTTTAATTAGATTGTGTCTTATTCGGCCTTTGCTCTTTTTTAGTTCGTATTTTTTCAAGGAAGATAGTTCCAATCCAATAAATAATTCTGTGGTTTTTTGATAGTGCGGAGAAGAGTTGCTGTTCTTTGTTTGGATAAAATTAATCCAACACAATTCCTCATGCTCATTTATTCCATTTTTAACAATTATTTCAAGTTTGAAGGTAAAAAAATGATCTTAACGTAAATATAATCAAATTATGATAATTTCTTTTCTTTTTTTTATTGCTTTATACATAAAAATGTAATTTTAATTGAAATTCATTTTCAAATATTTATTTTTGAAAAGAAATATAATTCATCAGAAGTCAATGCATTTTCTATAAAATAAAATTTGTTTGAAAATTTTAGTGCCTTTTTTTTATTATTAAATTTTGTTACTCATTTTGACAATTTGGAATTAGGAAACCTAAAATGCTTAATTGTTTATTGCAGTTTTTCCAGAGTTCTTCAATATTGTCTTAAACTGAAAGTTCCAAAAAGTCTTAAAAGTCTTTTTTTTTTCATTCCATGTCCTTGAGTATCTTTGAGTGCCAATTTTAACCCTGATTATGCATCAAAAAATATCTTTTGTTTTCTTTACTTTGAAAATGCTATTCGAATGAGTTAATCAAGTTTTTTTTTTTAATAGTGACATGACATTATTAATTTGCTGCAAATCTGTCAGAATGGGATCAGATATGTACTATACAAATCAAAGGAAATTAATAAAAACTCAAATGCCAGAGCATCGGAGTAGTGGGTCGGAGTAAATTATTCGACAAAAATACACTAATTTATGACAAAAACACATATTATTGTGTGCGCATCCATAATAATAAAGAACGCAATTTTCTCCTCGCGCCAAAAAGATACTGGCGCACGCGCGTTCTCCTCAAATCTGCAATAAAAACAAAACATTCCCCACTCCTGCTCCTTGCCACGGAAGTCTGAAAACACATGTTCTTGTTTGATTAAAATTTACTAATTTGATGTTTTGCCGATTTCCGACCTGAATTTCCGATAAACTCTGATTTTGTTCATTCAGTGTACCCGATTTGAGTGTTAGCGGTGCCTTTTTCAGGTCTGTTTTGTGCAAACTCTTTAAGCACATAGGTGAGAAAACGAACAAAAATAATTACATCATAATCATCCTTTGATATTTTGCTATGTTTTTAAATAAGGATAAAGCGTTGATTAGTTTATTTAAAATTTCAGTTTTTTATTTGGCATGGACAGCGATGAAGATCCCCCGGGCGAAATTCTCAAAACAATCCTCACGTTTGACTCCGAATGGGATAACTTTGACACCGAATCGTTGCCTTTGGAGCCAGGGTAAAGAATTTAAAATGTTTATCAATATAAAAATGCATTTAAATTTTATTCAAGTTAACTTTTTTCTATTGGCTTTTAATTTTGAATATGTAGTAGAGAATAATTTTATTATATAAATTGGATTATGTATCCAATTTGAACTATGTACATAACATAACAAAATGAAAAGATTACTTTATTTTATTTATTTGTATAGCCTCTTAAATTTTCTTCAACAAATTTTAAATTGTCTGTTACACAAAAATAGGAAGAGAAGCTAAGTAAATTTATTTTCAGAGATTCCGAGGACTCTTTGCTGGACCACATGAATGTGTCCAGCTTGCTGATTTCTTGCCTCATCCAGCTGCTCTGCTCGTCCCTCGAGAAGAACGCCAACAAAGCTCAAAGATTATATGACAGTACGATTTTTTTTTTCAAAATTGCAAATGAAATATTTATTATAAATTTTCATCTTTACAGTTATTCTGAATGAGCTCCAGAGACTGCAGCTGGTTCATGGCGCTGTTTCGTCTGAGAAATTCAGGGGTTTGCAAAATCACTACAAAGACGACCTGGTCAAACTGGTCACCACAGCTCACAACATTGTCAACCAACAAACTGCGGCTCTAGTCCCAAAGTGAGACGAATATAAATTCCTTGAAAAAATTAAGCTGAATTTTATCAAATTTACTTAAACTTCACTAAAATTAATTTAATGCTCTGAAATTGATTCCAATTTTTGGGGAAATGGTTTTTAGACAATAAATAATATACTTTAGTAATTTTTTTCAACCCAATCTGCAGGTCAAGCTCACACAGTGGAGAAGACGTCACTGATATTGGCCAAACGTCGTGTTTGCCAAGATCTCGGTACCACAACGAATTTGAAATTTTGGGCTACATCAACAAAGGTGGGTTCGGAGAAGTCTTCAAGGTGAGGAACAAGCTGGACAACCAACAATACGCCATTAAGAAGATTTTAATTAAGTAGGTGTACTGATTTTGTTGTTGATGCTTTAAATTGTATCAAAGTGTTTTTTTTTTTCAGATCTCGAGAAATGCTCCACAAAGACATTCAGAAAGAGGTCACCGTCCTTGCCAGCCTTCACCACCCGAACATCGTCAAGTACCACGGTGCATGGATGGAGCCTGTGGTTCCTGAACTGAAAACTAAAGTCATAATTACCGAGCATTTTGAATCATTCAAAGAAAATCATTATGAGATGAGTCTCCAGAATAATTTAAACTTGCCCATCAATATTAAAAATCGGTAATAATTCATTTATTATGGAGGGACTTGAAAAATTCAAATAATATTTTGCTCAATTTTTAGAGAAGCGAGCAGTGGATCTAGTTTTATCCAATTCCGATCAGACTCGCAGTTACCAGATACCCCATCCACATTGGAAGGGAACAACGAACTTGTGCCTGTGTCGACTGCGGAGAACCACAATAATTCAGTTGATAGAAGTAGTTCAAGCAGCGGCGACTCAAAAAAGGCTCTTCTCCCAGTCAATGAAATTGTAAGTGCCAAATGGACATTCAGTCAAAAAAATGCAGCATTTTATTTTCAGCCTATGGAGAGGTCAATTTTGTACATTCAAATGGAGCTGTGTGGTGAGACGCTGCGTCAGTGGATGGACCACCGACAGGACCACATTCACTCAGGATCTCTGCTCGGCTCTCTGCTTTTGAGGGAGAGCATTAGTATTTTCTGGCAGCTCACAGCAGCCCTTGAATACCTCCATCGCAATAATATCATTCACCATGACATCAAGGTAGAATTTTTTTTACATACAATTAATTTTCATTTCAATTTATATCAATTTTCAATCTTAAAATCATAGCCAGGAAACATTTTTGTGACTGGAGATTCTGGAATTAAACTCGGTGATTTTGGACTCGCATGCCAATACGAGACAAGCAAAGACATTCCTCACCGTGCCATTGGCACATACACGTATGCAGCTCCTGAGCAACTAGACGGAGGTCTTTGCAATTTTAAGGTGAAAAAAATTACTTTATTGAAAAAAAATTTTAAATAATAACAATTTTCATCAGAGTGATATCTACAGTTCTGGAGTAATACTTTTGGAACTTTTAATGCCGCCTTTCAAAACGTCTTCAGAAAGAGCTGAAGTGTTGACGAGCTTGAGAAATAAGGGCGCAATCCCAGAAATAATAAGTAAAAAACTACCCCAATGGGTAAGCATTTGTGTTTCTAGCATAAAAGATTATTAATTTTTAAAATGCTTACAGGAAAAGATCATCAAAATTGTAACAAGACGGAATCCTAAAAAGAGGCCAATTGCTAGCAATTTAAAAACAGCGGTTATGAAACTTATCAGCGAGGCGTCCATAGATGAGAGATCTAATTCACCAAAGCGCCTCGGGGAAATTTGCCATGAAAAACTGCCTAAAGAGTTGTGTGACATGGACATGAGAGTTGAAGAGGTGCCAAATATGCAGACCTTTATATCATCTCGGAGTTGCTCAAAACAGACAAGTTCCACGACCACGATCGAGCGAAACTTTAAAACGCTAAGGATATGCGGAAACAGGGAATCAAAGAGTGAGGAACTGCACAGCACCACTATGGTGGGAAAAATTAACTCTTCAGGTGATCTCCAAGCTGAGGACACATTAGATGAATATTCAAGACTGATGAGAGAAAATGAGTCCTTAAAAAGCACAATTTTTTTTCTCGAGCAAGAAATTAAATATCTCAAAGCTCAGGTGAAAATATGCATTTTCATTTGAATTGCCTATAAAAATTTAAATTTTGTTGCTATTTTTTCAGATTCACCTCCAAGGTGTGCAACTAAAACTGTGACGACTAAATTATCCTCATTGATGAAAATTACATAGCGAGAAACGAATAACGCAAAATGTTTCATTTTGTAGTATTATTCTGTTTAAAAAAAAATCATTTTTATTCGACAACAATAAATTTGCAAGCCTTTTGCTTTAAATTATTTAAAATTTATTGCAGTTGCATATTTTTTCTTATGCCCAAGAAGGGAATGTTACTTCATTCTTCTTTCTAGCTATCCAATATAAAAATCTTATATTATAAATTATTTTCTATCCTCTGCTCTAAATTGGTCAGGTAGGGTGTTGAGATCTCAAAGTTTTGGGTACCTGAAGAGGTGCCTTTGTCATGAGGATGTAAATAGCAGTTTGATGGCTCCATTACAATATTAAAACGGTATAGCTGGTGCTGCAGAATGTTGTTTGATTTGGAAACACTTCAACTCAACTTGACTTTTTGTTTGGCCCTTTGTAGGCAGCAGACCACCAATTTTTCAGACAAACTTAAGGTTGCTTTTTCTTTCCACACCGTAATTGCTGACACCAATTTTTCCTCTAAATTTTTTCAGACAGAGGAGGGTATCTGTTGGCACCTAAGTCAAATGATTAATTGTAATGAATTTATTTCACTTGCATTTCAATTATTTGAAATAGATTTTGCTTTGCAAAGTTTTTTTGGGAAATTTAGAGGAAAAAAAGAAAATTGTATTTTAATGGTTCCAATCCAATTGTCGTGATTTATTTAAAAATTATCTGGAGCAGATCCGTGGACTAAAAAAGTTGTGAATTCACAGATAAATCTTTCCCAACTCGTCCGCTTTTGTCTTTGCGCCAAGTGACTTAAGTATTACCAATGCTTCCATCATGGCATCCCTAAAATATTAAATTTTATTTCAATTATAATTATAAATAAAGTTTGATCATACCTTCCGCCAGGAGTTGTGACATCTATGGCTTTGATGATATTTGTTACTTGAGTGGAGAACATCTGCAGTTGGACAAACTGGGGCTCTCGAATCAACCAAGATCTTGGCATTGTGGCCAGTAACTGCAACAACAGTGTGTTTGTTATAACAGAAAAGCTTTTTAAAATTTAAAAGCTCACATGTCGACTTTTTTCTAAGGCATCCATTGGGTCACACGTCCTGAGGGCTGCCAAAAGATACCGTCCCAAGAGGGCACCCATGCAGATTTCCTGCAAGGTGGTGTCACCAATAATCCCTCTCCAAGCAATAACATTCTTCAGCAACTTAAACGCAGCCCAGAATTGCCGTTGGAAAAACTGGCCAATGGCGGACGCAGTTTTTGACGGGTAGATCGGGATAAAGACATCATTATCAATTGCTTCTTTCATCTTGCTGACGACAACTGGCAAGACTGTTTTAGAAACTCGGCCTCTGGTGGCCAGTTTTGGATAGTCGGAGAGAATCTTCCTCAGGGTCATGGCCAGTCGTTGTGTTTGAGAAGACGAGCAAGGGTCCCAAACATCCATCATTATTTCTAAAATTCGATTAATTACAAACAATTTAAACCTATGAGCATCAAATTACTTGCTAAACGAGGCAACACTGCAATTTCGATCACCAAAGGTACCAAGTGGAAGTCTGGGTCACTTTTGAGGCTTTCTAGTTTCTCAGCAGAAGATTCAACGCTGTACATAACTAGTGTCTGGAACCAGTCTGTGCTCTCAAAGTCAACCGAATTCTCCTGTGGGCAGCAAAACTTAGCTTTAAGAAATAGAGAAAGAAATTAAAGTACTTTACCTGCAGAGGATTCCATGAAATCAGAGTTAGCCGAACCAAAGGAGCAAATATTTTGGGTAAACTCAAATTCACATAAGCTTCTTTATAAGAGTCGATTTCAAACTCTTTCCATTCTCTAAAATGCCTCAAAATAAGATGCATTTCATGGAATTCTTCCTCAACATCTTCAAACAAAAGCTTCGCTTCATCAGCAATTTGCTCTGCAAATTTATATTGAGTTAAGAAGGATTTTTCAAACTTAATTTTCCACCCACCAATTTCCTTATTGTATGCCGATAATTCAAGTTCCGACTGCTCATCATCAGAGGAAAGTCCTTCGTAGTGGCGAACCAGATTTATGGAATTCACAGTGTCAGTGGCAGGCAGAGTTGATTCTCTAGCTCTTCGCCTTCTGGATCGACGCCCTTCACGTTCGGCAGCTCTCCTCACTCGGTTTTCATCGTGCTCGATTATTGGCGCTGGCATTCCCACCGATCCTGGAAACGATTTAAGAATTAAGAATAAAAAAAATTCTAGAAAATTACTTTTTCCATTGAAATTATTTAAAATTATCAAAAATGACTTACTTGTTTTTGCAGCAGCATCTGTAGCCTGATCCATGACGTCTTGTCTTCTTCGCTGCACAAGGAAGTTACTCTTCTTTTTTAACACATTGATAAACCTTTGCTCAAGCTGGTCCAATTCGGGCACCTGAAATGCGTCAACTTGTTGAAGAAACCGTTTGAGACATTTTGGATGGATTTTCAAATTGAGATTGACAACAAAAAAGGCTGAAAGAAAGATTAGTTAATACAGTAGCAACGACTACGAAAGAAGCAGTGGCCCCTGTGCGATGGCATGGACACCTGCCATTTTTTGCATAAAGTGCGCTCCACAATATTGCATGAGTCAACCGAGTCAATATTGTGCATTTCAAAGAACAAGGTGTCCCGCACCGCGCATTTCGTGGACCCCCCGGAGTAGGAAAATGATTTGTGTTAAAATGAGACCCACCTTCTCGTCAAAGCATTCTACCAAGTCTGTGACATACCCACGCAAATTTTGGTAGAACTGATAGCGATTTGAGCGCTCGGGCCCGTTGGAAACAATTTTTTCCGAGTTCTTCTCCATGTCCTCCATCTCCAGCAGCAGGTTGCCACGCTCCACACTGTGCCGGCGCTGCGTTTCTTTCAGCGTACACAACCTGAAATTTCCACGGGGAAGGAACGATAGTTTAATAAAATGAAATCAAAAGCAAATGCCTGTCGTGAACTAGTCTAAATTTTTGAAGTTATTATTTTGGCAATATGAGGATTCAAGGGGTTAGGAAATAAGACCAAACGGTCACTTTTGAGGAATTTACGCTGCAGCCTGGACCAAAAACTCAAGCCCTTTATCAGACCTGTCGCGGAGGAGACGACACAATTCTTCAGGAGTGTGTGCTTCGGCTTTGGAGAGCATTTGAGACAAAACTTGTTCGGTTGCAGGTCCGTCCGTCAGGGACAGGGTGGGGGTGGGTTGGATGGCTAGTGGATGGAGCTGCACAAACGGGGGGTGCTGTATCAAGCCTTGCTGTTGCATCACTTCTTGCTGAGCTGCAGCAAGCTGGAAACAATCGTAAAAATGTTCCAAATTTATAATTTCCTCATTAAAATTAGGAAAATTAAAAAATGATGACCAAAATTAATTCTAATTAAGTAATCATTCAAAATACCTGTGCTCCTGAAACGGCTTTTCTAATTTGCTGCGCTTCCCAGTTTTCTACCTCATCATCGTCAAGATCGCTATGCTGATCACTAGGCTCTGAAAAAGTATTATAACTTTAATTTATGATATGTGCAAAGAAAATTTGAGAGATATTGGGGGAGATTCAATAGACTTAGTAGCATCCTGGAATAAAACTGCGAGAAAAATTTGTCTCGCACTGTTGGCGCTGTCCTAACAATAAGTTAATATTTTTTTATCGCGCCTTCAAATTTTTTTTGTCCAATATTCATTTGGGATAACTTTTTCTTAACGGGAGTAGCATTTAACCCGGGCACGATGGCTACGCTCGGGTCTAAAAAAAGGGCTTACACCCTGGCATAAATTTTGCATAAAATATTATATATCTAAGCCGAGACCGATGTGGACCATAAGCCCTATGATGATAAAGTTACAAAATTTCCTAGACCGGTCTCGAACACGGTTTGATGGTCTCTCGTCCGACAAAGGTCAAATACCTTGCTCTTGAGCTGCAAAAAATGCCTCTCTTCTGCGCTCCTGATCTCTTGCTGTGGTATCAACTGTGAAATCGATTCTTTTGTTTTCCCCTCTGGCAACTTCACCATGTTCATCGTCACTTATGTCATGGTCTTCTTCTTCATCTCTCACTAAACGGGAACCAGCCCCTTCACTAAATCAGACAAATTATGCCCATTTGAAGAAATACTGAAATAATGGAACTTACGTTTTACTCTCATCAATTGGAATGAAATCACCCAGTTCTCTGGCCTTTTGCCTCGACTTTCTGGCAGCATGAATCATTGCTGCGTCTGGAATGCAGCCGCCTAAAATATTAAATTAAGTTTTATGCAAAGATTATGGATAATCCTCAAATACTCATACTATCAAGGACATGTTGGAGTTTCTTTGGCCGAGAGAATTTTGGATGGTCTTTGTCATCATCATCCTCGCTGTCAGATCTCTCAACAGCAAATTCTGCCTCCCGCCCACTTAAGATCAGTGGCTTCTCTTTCTTCAGTGGGATCTGCTTGATGACAGGAACTTCCTCATCTTCAGGGGTATTTGGTTCTTGTTTCACTTTAGCCAAACTTGTTCCATTACTTGAAACTTTGTCCTTTTCCTTTTTCCGCTTCCTTTCCTTGTCCAGCTGCCGCATAAGTTTTCTACTTTGAGAGGATTTGCGAACTTGAAAAACTTCCCCATCGTCTGTATTTGTAAAAAGCACTTTAGAATGTACAGGAAATATTTAACTTCAAAGTATCACCGTCAAGCAGATCCTCTTCAAAGCTCAGGAGAGTATTTTTTGCCTTTGATTTTTCGTCATTCTCGCTCTCCTTCTTTTTCTTTTTCTCTTTCTTTATCGTCGTCACTTCGACAGCGTCAATTTCCATGGGCTCTTCAGGTTCCAACAACTCGTCCTAAATAATAAAATTACTACATATATACATATTCAGTTGAAATTCATAACACATAAAAAACGACTTATATTATTATTATATGTATGTAGTTTTATGTAAAACATTAAATTTAATAATAATTTATGTGCAAGCATTGCAAACAGAAACTTACATCTTGTCTCTGGCGCAGATTCTTCTTTTGGGGCTTTCTAAACATCTTGTGAAAAACTTTGAGAATGCAATAGAGTTTATAGAGATCTCAAATTGAGCGGAAAATTTTCTAAATAAGTCCTGCAAATTCAGTGCAAAATAATGAACTGTAACTGTGCTAATAAACTTTCGAGTCGATCATCGCGTTGAAGCGGACATCTTTGTTTTTTTCCGAAAAATTAGAAAAAAATGAAAGTCGATGGACTCTATGCGGCCGGTTCGCCACGCCCCCTTCAGCCAAGAAGTGTCTTGTTGACATTTTCGCATTTCGCCATCACTTACTCTTCACAAGATTTTTAAACCGTTTTATATTTAATTTTGTTTTCATGTTTGTTCCATTCTTGAAAACTTATGAATTTTCTTGTTAAACAACTTATGCCTTATGTACCTTAAAAATTTTGCCTGCGAATTATTCATGTATTGAAAAATGGACTTCACAGCACCACCTTTTGAATCTTCGGTGTCAGGTCAATCAGGCATGCTTGGTATGTATTATTACATTCATAGATTTTGAAATATTTTTGCAAACCCGCTAAAATTACAGTTTACGATGACGGGACTGCCGAATTCGCAGAGGGAGAGTACCCGATACCCAGTGAAAATTATGAAGAGACCTACACAGACGCTGAATTTCAAGAAACGCAAACATTTCTGGCAGACGGAGGCGATCGCTTTGGTGTTTCTGCAATCACATTTGACCTCCAGGAAGAGCTTCTTTGGATGGGCAATCAAGGGGTAAATTCAAATTAAAATATTCACATGAGATAAAAAAAAAATCTGAAAAAAATGTTAAAAATGTGATAAACAGGGTCATGTGACATCTTACTATGGACCTGGCATGCAGAAGTACACCTCTTTTCAAGTACACGCAGACCAAGATGTTCGACAAATCTCCACATTTGATGAAGGGATTCTGGCCCTTACCAAGAGTACCCTTAGGTGTCAAGTTCGAAGAGGGGTTCCTGTTTTCACTCACAGGCTTGTTGATACACAGAGGAGATAGTATAAATTATAACTTCCTCTCTTATTTTTATAGTTCTGAAAACATGCTGGAAATGCAGTGCATGCTCCCAATGGCACCTGCCACCATTGTTATGGGAGGTCACCAGGACAAGCTGATTCTCTTTGATGTGGCGCAAGCTGTGGAGACTGGAGTTGTACGTTTCAATGCAAACAACAGTTTGATTTCAGTTAATTTTTAATCATTTAGGTCCGTGTTGGTGACAATGGGTGCGCCATAATCAGGAGACATGGACGCTACTTGTGCACTGGGGATCCTTTAGGAGTGGTGGAGCTCCGAGACCCCAATTCGTTGCAGCTCGAGCATACACTGGAGGCGCACACCGGGAGTCTCTCGGACTTTGATGTGCACGAGAACCTTTTGGTCACATGTGGATTCTCTCAAAGGTAATCTCTTCACCAATGATTAAAATTTCTAAGTGTATAAACGTACAGAATTAAAAAAAATTCTCAATTTATTGAAAAGAACAATGGCACTCAGCAAAGTAATTGTAAAGTTTGATCTTGAAATTTTTGAAAATAGAATATTTTAAAATTTTTATGAAAAGTTAAATTGATTATATGGCATCTTTTATAGACCTGGAGGCATGTCAGTGGATCGTCTTCTGATGGTGTATGATCTGCGAATGATGCGAGCCATATCACCGATGCAAGTGCTGGTCGATCCTCTTCTGCTAAGATTCCTTCCATCATTTTCGTCCAGACTTGCGGTGGTTTCTGCTGTTGGACAGTTCCAGCTGCTTGACACAGTTGCCCTCGATGAACCAGACATCTGTCTTTATCATGTTAGTTCTGTTTAAGATCATCACAATTCTTTTAAGACTATGCTTGTTATTTGTACTTTTTGCAGACCAATTCTGCAGGAGCAATGTGCTTGACATTCGACGTCTCTTCAAACTGCCAGTGCATGGCGTTTGGTGACAGCGACGGTTCCATTCACCTGTTCACGTCACACACAGAGGCTCTTTTTAATGCCTACTCTCGGGATGTGACCTTTGCTGACCCCGTGGAAACATTGCCTCCTCTCAGCATCAGCGATAACATCACTCCATTCTCGACCATCCCGATGCCCTACTGCCAAAGTCGTCTGGCCTCTGACTGGCCCGAGGAACTGCTTAGGAAAGCATACAGGTTTTTATAATCTAAATCATACCATTCCTTTGTTTGATCAAAATATTATTTTTAGGCCTACACCAGTCATTGACCCTGCCACCCTGAAGAATTTAAAGATGGTGGGTAACATAGGTTACGCTCCAAATCCAGGCGGGCTGCGGAGAAATCAGGTGTGTTTCTTTTACATCGGTGTGTGCTGTTTCTGTTAAACGTTCATTTTCAGTCTTTGGTTGAGAAAATTTTACTTAAGGTCTACATTAAATTTATTATTCCTTCAAAATACCCATGTTTTAACCTGAGAAATGTGTGATTTTTAAAGGTAGCCTACAAACTTGAAAAGAGCAGTGCCAGGGGTATGAAGAAAATCTACGGATCGGACTCGTCTCGAAGCAAAGACGACAGCTCTTTTGTGGCCATTCCGAAAAAGTACCGCAAAATCGAAGTGAAGTACTCTAAAATGGGTATGGACGACTTTGACTTTGATTACTACAACAAAACAGGATTTGCTGGGCTGGAGGCTACTCTGCCAAACTCCTACTGCAATGCCATGTTACAGGTTGAAATTCATAAACAATTTAATGGCAATATTTAATTTTTTTTTTTGTAAAATCTGCTTCAGGTCCTGTACTACATCGACAAAGTAAGGGCTGCTCTTGAATCTCACCTGTGTCAACGAGAGTTTTGTCTTGCATGTGAACTGGGTTTCCTTTACTACATGGTAGACCACTCGCAAGGATTTCCCTGTCAAGCCAGCAATTTCCTTCGAGCATTCCGAACCATCCCAGAGGCGTCAGCTCTTGGCCTCATTCTATCGGACGAGAATAATTCCAAGAAAAATGCAAACTTAACCCGTTTGATTCAGGTGATTTGCCTCCTCATTTAAAAAAAATCAAATAAAAAGAAATTTATTTCAGAACTGGAACCGATTCATCTTGCATCAAATTCATTTTGAAATTCTGGATGCCAAAAAATGCGAGAGCTATTTGGAGTTGGCCAAAGCTGAATCTCAGGGTCCTGTGACTGCCCCTTTTGTATACCAAGAGAAAGACTTTCCCAGCATCATGGGATCTGGAATCCGCAACAGCAGAAATTACAAAGAAGAGACTGTAGAGGGTTAGATCGCTTGTTTATTAGAAATTCTTGTTAATCAAGGTAATTTTAACAGCTGTTGAATTGCCTCAAGAGTGTGAGGAAAGCATTGAAGGAGCAACAATTGAGGAGACTGAGCTTTCAAGCATTTTCAGCACTCGGCAGACCAACATCCACAAGTGTCTCAAGTGCCAAAAAGAAGTTTCAAAAGAATCAACACAATTTTTGTGGAACCTCACATATCCCGACGCAAGTCAAGGTTTTTGAAAAAAATAGCTCATTGTCAAACAAACCAAATTAAATCATTGATGTGAAAACAGGAAAAGTCCCAGTTAGTTTTTGTGACGTGCTCACCAAGAGTCTCAGCCCTGAGCAGGTGACTCCAGCTTGGTGCGAAGGTTGCAGCAAATACCAGCCTACAAAGCAGTCTAGGAGAATCTCCCAACTGCCTCCAATACTGGCTTTGAACTGCGGAATGGACAATCCTGGGGTGATTATAAAAATTTCTTCAATTCAAGGATACAAAGATAAAATGTCTGAAATTTGCAGGACAAAGAGTTTTGGCAGACTCAAATGGACCTGCTGGTTCAAAAGGCTCAAGAAACGGCCCAATCGAATAAAGACGAAACTTCCGCCAGCAGTGCTCCGCCGCCATCAAGCAAACCTTGTAGATATGGGGACAAGTGTATGCGCCCAGGCTGCCGATTCAAGCACGCAGGGAGACCAGGAGGTGCGGCACATAGTGCTATCATAAATTTAAATATTTTTCTTCTATCATGATGAGGGAAAATTCAAAATATTCCATTTTTTTTAAACACTTTTTTCATTCTTAGAAGCGGCCTCCTCTAGCAACAGCCAGTTGTATTACACAAACGCCTGGCTCCCTCTCCACATAAAGGCTGATCTTGGTGAAAATGGGCAGCTGTTCATAAGGAAGAAAACAGATTTTGCACCTGGAGATTCTTCAGCCTCAGAGCCCGACGCTCCCCTACCATTCGAAAGCAGTCAACACGTCGAATATGACTTACAGTCTGTGGTTTGCTACATTCACGACCCAATCAACCCTGACAAGAAAAATCTGGTTGCTTTGGTAAATGTCGGACCCAGGTATCACGAGCGGTCACTTGGCTCTCCAGTCAGCCAGTGGTACATCTTCAACGACTTCAGGTTTCTGCAGCTGAAAACAATTTGATGAATTCTAATTATTTCCATTTCAATTAGCATCACTCCTGTGCAAGCGCAGGAAGTGGTTTGGTTCAGTTTGGACTGGAAAGTCCCGTGCGTTCTTTACTGGATTAGTAAAGAGTTGAAAAGTCAACCAGAGCCCCTCATTCAGAACCCAATCACCATCGACGTGTTCAGCGAGGACAATAATTTGGCTCGGAACGGCAGGAAAATGATAACCTTTACGCCCTTATCAGCAGAGGAAATGCCCTCTGAAGGTAAAAAAAAAAAAAAAACAAATATCAGAAATTATAACTTATCTTCTAATTTTTAATAGGTGAGCTTGTGGCCATGGACGCCGAGTTTGTCACCCTGAACCAGGAGGAGTCCGAGTTGAGGAGCGACGGCAAGACGAACACCATCAAGCCATCTCACATGTCGGTGGCTCGAATCACCTGCATCCGAGGGCAAGGAACCCAGACTGGGGAGCCCTTCATCGACGACTACATATCCACTTCAGAACAGGTCGTCGACTACCTAACCAAGTTTTCTGGAATAAAGCCTGGTGATCTAGACGCCAACTTCAGCTCGAAGCATTTGACCACTCTGAAGTCAACCTATCAGAAACTCAGGTTCCTGGTTGACATTGGGGTCAAGTTTGTCGGTCATGGATTAAAAAATGACTTCAGGTTAATTGATAATTAATTGCACCAATTATAGAAATTATTTGCTCAACTTAAAATTTTAGAGTAATTAATTTGGTGGTTCCGTCTGAGCAAGTGATAGACACAGTCCACTTATTCCATCTACCACACCACAGGATGGTGTCTCTCAAGTTCTTAGCCTGGCATTTCTTAGGTATTAATCATTTAGAATTCAAATTCCTGATTATTTTATATCTTTTCAATCGCAGGCACAAAAATCCAGTCTGTCACGCATGACTCAATTGAAGACGCAAAAACAGCACTACAACTTTATCACCACTACCTCAAGTTAGAGGCAAGTGGTGGATTGACTGCTGCCCTGAAGGACATTTACCAGGCAGGCAAGAGAATGCAATGGAAGGTTCCAGGAATTGAATGAGCTCGAATTGTGATCTTCTAGAAATGTATCTTGTACTGTTAAAAATTGTTCTCGTTCCAACTTATTTTTCGTGTTTACTTCCAGTGGTGTATGTTGTATTTACAATCATGTATTTTCTACTTGTTTGTTTTAATTGAAACTAATTTTATATCTCATTTTAAAGTTTCTTGCTGCCTTTTTACAATGAATAAAAAAACAAAATTAAGCACTAAAAATGAGTTTTATAATGAAGTTTATTTCAACCAAATTTTACAGATAGGGTTCAGGGAATTCAAAGCTGACTTCCCTGCCAGTCAACTTCTTGTATACCCCGGAAAAGGTGTCAACCTGTCGACAGATTACGAACAAAATTATTTAAAAGATTTAATTAGAACATTGAAAATTGGGGACTTTAAAAAATGTGTTGGTCGTAAGTACGCACAAACATAGCTAGACTGCAATGCCTGGGGATGTCGACCGTCAATTTAGCACTGCCGTGGAATTGTGTGAGCATAAAGAAAACCCCCACAATACTTGAGCGTGCATTGGGAGATTGAATTTCTGAAGAAGAATAAAAGACGCACCTTGTGTTCAATGTTGGTCTGTTGGGTTTTATCTAAGTGAACCTTAACCAACTGTGATCCATCCAGTCTCACTCGGATCCTCTTGCCAACAATTTCAGCGGGGAACACAAGATCCTCCAGGATGGCGTCATAAACAGCAGTCAAAGTACGGCTGAAAATAAAATTAAAATTAGTTTCTATTTCCACAAAAGGTTGTCGAAAAAAATTGCAATAATTGAAAAAACCAATCTGCACAAAATAATTATATTTGATGGAAAATTCATTTTAAAATTAATAAAAACTGTCACTTGATGGGTTTCATCTTAAATGATAGTTGCTAAGATTTTTCTTTTCTTATAATGTACCTGCGAGGCCGCTTTTGCTTGTTCTTCGCCCTCGTCTTACGGGTGGGCTTGGGCAGAATTTTCCTCTCCGCAACAAACACCACATGATTTCCAGAGAACTTCTTCTCCAACTCTCGAACGAGGCGGGTCTGGATTTTCTGGAATTGCTTGAGCTGCGGCACCGGCACGTAGATGATGATACTCTTCTTGCCGTTCAGTTCAATCTCCTTAGCTTTTGTAACATGAAGCTCCTTCAGCTGAGCCTTCAGGTCAGAGTTCATCTCCAGCTCCAGAAGAGCCTGCGAGATCTGAGTCTCGAAAGCATCGGGCTCGGTGCCGCCTGTTTTCAATATTTTAGCGCCGGAAGTCAACATCTAGAATTATCAATAGCAAATATAAGTCACATTTTTCCATGGAGTAATAAAAGGATTTTTGGTTAGCAATCATGACTGTCAACAGTGCGCCGAGTTTGTTTACAACCAAATTACGTGAAAACCGCACACAAAAATGGGTAAAAATTGATTAAAAATATGCAATTTTCAACAGCAAAACGCACTAAATCTGGATTTGAGTTAAAAGTTCTATTAAATTAGGAAATATTTGAGAAAAGTCGCGTTGTAAATCCCACGTAGCACTCATGCCTTGTTTCGGCCCTCGATTCAGATCGCGGTTTATCTCCCAATCGGCAACACCATCCGTCGGCCAATCGGCCCCAATCGACGAAGAAAATACTACAGATTTGCCGACGAAGGTTCGTTTACCAATTTTTTGTATAATGTCAGTGCAAATTTCGAAAAATTAGAGGAAATGGGATGCGAAATTGACATACCTTGCTCCCCGCGTGTAAAAGGCTTTTTGATGAAAAACAGAGAGCGACATCTATGACGCGGGGGCGAAACCACAAGTACCGATTTGTAGCTATAGGGGCGCTGTTTCTCATTTGCATTTGCAGGTATTATGCAGATTGCAGAAAAATGCAGAGTGCAGAGGCAGAGCAGATTGCAGAGGCAGAGAATGCAATGCACTTTGGCCACTTTGCAGCACTATGGAGGAAGCTATGGAGATTGGAGATACCAGAGATGAGGAAAAGTCGTCTTTTATCTCTGGGAAAGGAGGCTGTGCGGGGAAAAATATTCTTATCACGACTTCCACGAGTTTGGCCATAGTTTGGCCACCTTCCGACGGCCGATGGATATTTTCCGACCTTCACGAAAGGCGGCCGAGAAAGCTCACCCTTGCCGCCTTGCCCTGTGAATGGCCGGTGGCTTAAAGAATGACGGGAATTGATGTGGCAGTTGCCGGCATGACCGCCAGAGATTTATTAAAGATAAATCAAAATTTATTAATATTTAATTTATTTAAAATTAATTTAACTTTTAATATTATTAAAATGCTGATTTTTTAATTTAATTTTTTAATAACTTTACTGATTTATTTTAGTTATTTTACATAAAGAGTGGCAGACGTCGCCGTGAATTGTTTTGTTTGGCGCGCTTTTAGTTAAAAAAAAAACCGAGAGCGACATCTGTCACGTGGCGCGGTAGCGGAACCACAAGAAGTACCGATTTGCAGAAAACAAGAATGTAAACAAAAAGTCGACGATGTCGGAATAAATTCAATTTGTACGCAAATTTATACGTAATTAAGCAGCAAACAATCTTTTTGATTTTTTGTGACTCAAAAATATTAATTTTTGAGCCATTTTAAAAATTAATTTCTCAATTAAAAGTTAAAAGTCAAAATTTTGGTTTGTATTATTCCATTCTGCTTTATGTAAAGCCAGTTTTGTCTCGCACAGTTTCAGTAAAACCACGTGAATATAAAAAGATGACTTCGTCAAGCAGCAGCGATGAAGAAGACAATGCTAATCTGAGAGAAGCTCTTGCTCCCGGCTTTTCCATTGAAGCAGGTTTGTAATTTTGTAGAAGATTTAAAAGATAACCTTAAAATTTTGCCGCATTTTATCATTACATATTTATGTAAAATAATTAATCATATTCTTGCTTTAATTTGTCGTGTCATTATTATTTTAAATGTTAAAATTCATTTTTAAATATTTTTGAAACTTTTTACAATATTTAGATTTTTCTGAAACCAATTTATAATTTATTTTATTATTTTAGTGAAAAGGAACCTCATGCCCAAAGATAATCACGAGAAGATTCCAGATAAAGCCAGTAGCAAGCTCACACAAAAATCTGGTGTTAAAACCATGTCGCAATTTAGGATGCCAAATGTCTCCTGCGACAACCAGAAATATTTGGCTCGGGAATTGCAAAAATATCTTGAAAAGTATGTATTAAATTTAAGAAGCTTCAGTTAGGATAAAAAAAATATATTATTTATTTATTTAGGCAAATTGAAGAAATAAGCGATAATCCAGTGAGAGAAAAACGAAAAAAGAAGAAGAAACATCGCTCTCAAGAAGAAACAGGAGTTAAATTGCTGTCCACCTCAAATATTGCTCTGTCACTTGACCAGGACGAAGATGAGCCGGAAGTTTTCACTACCTGCAATTCAAGTAAGACTCCGAGAATAGGAAAAAGAAAATTGGAGGATGAAGGTAAGGAGTCGGACGAAGTTGTGAAAGTTAAGGACGCAGCCGTAAGTGCGGAGTGGGTGCTCAAAAAAAGAGGTGATTATGGACCGTTGTGCAGGAAACCTGGCGAGGTTATTCATGTTGTTAATGGCTTGATACAGAATTAAAAACAAAAAGTACAATATATATTTAATTAACATTCATAGTTTGTATTTATTATTCCTTTTGGAAATAGTCTCTGTTGATTAAAGAAAAACAGGCCTTGTTCTTGTTTTTTAAAAAAGTAAGGCTCTAGTAATGTTGCATCCTTCATGAACTGCCTCAGCGACAGCCATTAAATTTTCTCTGCAGCCTGATTTTTTAGTCCATGCAAGTTTCCCTAAGGTGGAAATGAAAAAAAAATTGGATAATTATTTTTATATCATTTGGTTTTATTATCCACAAGATCGATCGTACATACATTATGATACAATTCTGTTATTAGAAGAAAAGAGACACTATTATATGTCGGCAAACGATAAGAATAATCCCGAAAGTTTTTGTTCTTTAGATGTGTGGTTTAAGTAAAAGATCTCCACCCGATACAAATGCCCAACCTACGTGGTGTTCAATCATTATTTTTTAGAGAGAATATGAGAAAATTATGGTGCATTTGAATGAGGCACGGTAAATGCATGACTAGGTCTTGAAAGAATTAACGTACAAAAATCCCCCATTTGTTCTGATGATTATTGAAACAATTTTGAAATTCTGCTTGTGACGGAATGGAAATAAAAGCTGCATAAGTAGAGGGCTGGTGTTCTTGAATTTTTTACTGTAAAAAAAGAAATTTTTGCGATTGGTCGTCAATCAGGAATGTGTCATTTCTTTAAAATTTAAAATGTGCAGCAAACTCGAAGGTGTTAAAATGTAATGAAACGATTCACTACCATTTTCCTTCTCACAGTCTTAATTGTGAAGCATTCTCTAATTTAAAAAAAAAAATCTCGCTTTAATTCAAGATAATTAATTATGACTAGCCTAGTGGTTGATTAACAGTTGTCTGGTGCTGCACCGAGAATGATTAATTAAAATTCAAAAGAAAATTTTAAATAGTAATAATTAAAAAAAATCATTCCGCTTGAGAGGAACAGTGGCTATAGCACCCTTCTACGATGTGTTAACTCGACAGGGCGGCGTTTTGCTGTTGCAATCCTCCCGAGGCAGCTTCAGAGGGGTCACCGGAGCAGATGCCGTTGGAGCAGATGAACGAGTTTACTTCAGGAAAACGCAGCCGGATTGAGTCGATGACGTCCAGCAAGTTTTTGGCATCCATTGCCAAGACGTGGGCTGCAGAAAGCATTCCTCTGTGCAAAAGAACAAAGTTTTTATAAGCAAAATCAAAAACAGAATTGATTATTTTCCAATTAATTTGATTTAATATCTTTGGAGGTTAAAAAAGATTATCAGATTTAATAAAAACATTTAAATTTGTACGTACTTCCTATATTCAGCATCTAAAGTTGTCGTGCTGTAGCTCTGGGCCAATTTCATAGAGTTAACCAACTCTGCCATGTCCTTGCTCAGCACCTTGTGAGCCATTTCAACCTAAAATTTGAAACAATATGGTATAAAAAAAACTCTGGAAATTCTTTTCATTTCGAAATAAATAAGGGAAACTGCATAAATATTCACCTCTCTGTGAGCAGTGGGAGGAAACACAGCCACTAAAATGTCCACGCTTGAGAGCAGAGAGCGAAGGTCGATGCCCACTTTGCGCACCAGCTCCAAATATTGAGACACCAAACCTGCTTGCACACCTGAATAACAATAGAAAATTTTTGATTAATTTAATAAAAGAAATAGTTAGATTTAAAAATTTGTTTGATTTTTCAAACTATAACTTGTTTAAAAAAATTTAAATGAAAATAAAATTCAACTACTCTATATTTGATAATACTGTAAATTCGGTAAATTCAATTAGATGTGTTATATATTTTTTTTCCTGAATGTACCTTGAGAGAGCGCCATGACAGCCCTGACGACCTGAGTGGTGCACTCATAGACCTTATCCGTGGATCTGTCCAGGTCGGCTGTGGGGTTGTTTTCGAGTTTCTTGATGACGATGGCGCGTTCTTCAGTGGAGCCATTGCTTATCGGGGTGGAGGAGCGGTCCAAGGACCTGCTGTGGGTGCCGCTCTGCGGTGACTTGCTGTGGCCCAGCGAATTCAGAGGAGAGCAGGAAGCTTCGGCTGCCGAGTCTGTGTCCGAGCGGTCGCTTAGACTTGTCGCTATTGATATTCTCTTTTTCTGCAAGTCCAACTGACATTTCACTTATATGCACTGTTCAATTTGGCAAAAGGAAAGACTAACCAGGTTATTCTCTTCCTCCTGCAACCACTTGCTGTCCTCTTCAGACTCTTTCTGTTGCCTTCGAAGTCGAGCTTCCAACTCGAGAAGCTGCTGGTCCTCTTCCGCAGGAGGTACATCAGCAATGGGGCCCTTTAAAATTTAATCAAACAGTCAAATACTGATTTTATTCAAAGTGAGGTTTTACAAAAACATAAGTGCACTATATCATGCAGTGAATCGTACGTGAATCTTGGCTTTGGAAAAATGTACCAAATAACAAAAAGACTGGAGTTATTTCATGGTTTTTAAAAATTATTTGCTTATAGCTTAAAGCTAAATATTTTAGCTTAATGGACTCGCATAACTAATATGGTAATATTTCCAAGCCATGTTACTAACTTAAAAGTGTGTGATAGTGAAAAATGAACAGGGGCAGGGTAGAAGGGTCTCAATTATTTTACAAAGGTGATCGACGTGCAAAATCAATTTTCAAAAACATAAGTAAATATTATAATTAAAAATTACAACACAAAAATTAGAAGATAAATTCATGCGGTGCAAAAAACTAAATACATTTAATTTCAAAAATTTACTTTGAAATTGAAACATTTCAAACTTCTTCAAATGCTCTCTTCACAAAAGAAAAATACAGTGAGATTACATGCTAGTCTGTCACTTTAGTTCAAACCAAAAATACTCGGCAGGCGTTCTAATCATTTCCGTGCATCATTACACGCAGAACAGTAATGGGCCAACCTGCTCGGAAATCGCGTCACCCGCGAGTGGCCCTCTCAAGGGCAGAGTGCTATCGAAAGCAGTATTATGATCAGAGGGGGGTGGGGGGAGGGGCATTTCTTCAGAGGTGGAGGACAGGGTAGATGTGGTGGAGGAAGAAGCGGCGCCGCCAACAAAATCTACCGCTAGAGTGTTGAATGCAGACGCTGGCAGGGTGTAGACGGCTGGGTTGAGGACGCGGCCTTCGTTCTCCCTCATCAGCTGCATCAGAACCTCAGGGTTTTGGGCAACAATGTACGTGGATACGACGGGTGGCTGCTGCGGGGGTGGAGTGCTGTAGCCGGAAGCTGGGTCATTGGGGAAGCGGGAAGGTTTCGGGGGTGCTGGATCGTCGGAGCCTGAGGAGCCCCAGGACATTGCCTGCACCCTCCGGTTTTCTCGACGCATCGTCTCCTCTTTTTGGTGTCTCTCGTCAAGAAGAATTTCACTGAAGGTAAAAAAAAGAAAATTAGTTTTGAAATTTAAAAAAAAAAACTTCATCCACTCACTTTAAAACTTCTCTAATTTCCTTGAAAGTTGGTCTCTTGCTAGGTTCGTAGGACCAACATTGAGACATCAGACTGTACAGTCTAGGTGGGCAGTCCGCTGGAAGGGCCAATCTCTCCCCGTTTTCGATTTTTCCAATCACATCATTATTCTTCACACCTTGGAAGGGCTTTATGCCGAGCATCAAAATTTCCCACATGCAAACACCTGCGATTTTTTATAATTTTTATTTCCATTGAAATTTCTCATCAGATAAACCTTACCAAACATCCAAACGTCACTAGCAGTAGTAAACCTCCTAAAATTGATTGACTCTGGGGCCATCCACTTGATGGGCAGTTTCCCCTTTGAAGCCTTGTAGTAGCTCTGGTCTTCCACCCATCGGCTCAAGCCAAAGTCGGCCAACTTGACGCAGTGGTGGCTCGAGACTAGCACATTTCGAGCAGCAATATCTCTGCAATAATTTGTAATCATTACTACCATAATAAACATTCCAAAGAAAAAAAACTAACCTGTGCACAAATTTTTTTGATTCGAGGTATGATAGTGCCGTGCTGAGTTGGTAGGAATAGAGGAGAAGCGTGGCCAGGTCGAGGCGGCTCTTGTTGCTGAGCAAGTAAGCCCTCATCTCCCCAAGCTTCGCAAGTTCCATTACAATCCAAATTGGACTCTCCGAGCAAACTCCAATTAGCTTGATGATGTGTGGATGATCAAACTGCTGCATAATATAGGCCTCTTCCAAAAATTTTTCCGCGGTTGCAAGATCTGCGTCCACTTTGCAAGTCTTGACCGCCACAGCCACTTGAGCTTTCCCGTCCCTTCCCCTGTAGACGCCCTTGTGGACATCGCCAAATTGGCCCTCGCCAATTATTTCACCCAAGTCTATCATGTTTCTTTGCAATTCGTAGTTACGAGCTGAAATAAAATGCACGAAAGTAAATTCACAGTCCAAATTGAATGAAAAGAAAAGCTACTTGAGGGTGTCGAGTAGTCTCCCTCTTCGTCCACAACCTCGGCGTAGTCTTCTGAAAGAATAGTGCCTGTTTTGTTTCTGGTGTCTGAACTACTACTGCTTGTGCTGTTGCTGCCAGCCTTGCTCTCACTCTCCTTCAACTTTAGCCTTTCGCGTTCTGACAATTTAAATACACAGTAATGAAATGCATGAAAATAGCGATCATTATTCAGAATAACAATTTATTTTGATTTAATCAAAAAAATCTATCGGAACGAATTTTAAAAATTTCATAATAAAAATAAAGCTTCACAACACTTAGAACACTAATTATTATGCTACTGACCTTTAGCACAAGGACATGGGTAATTTTCCCATGTGGCATCTTGATTGATAGCAAAACAAAGTGCAGATTGAATTTTAAGTAATAATTTTTTTTCTAATTAATTCCAAAGAAAGGTACCTTTTCTGGTCCAAAGGGAAGGCCCAGAGGGATTGTGCAGCCGGCAGTAGCCGTCTATCAGGTCTGCCAGACTCTCAGCCTCATTGATACTCGCCAGGGTGATGGTCAAGTTTTCGGCAGTGCCCGCCACCTTGAGCTGGACCACCCCTTTCGAGTGGGTGCCGCAGTCCGACACTAGCGTCTGAATGTTAAGCACTCTTTCGAATTCAGCCATTCGAACTGGCTGCAGACCTCCGACATGCTATTAAATAAATTATTTCATTAAAAAATGATTTAAAAAATTCCTGCAACACTCACATCCGTATTCCTGTGCGACATGTAACTGATTCCCAAATCAGGGCCTATGACCATTTCAACAGGAATCGACCAGCCAGTCTGGAAAGAGGTAAAATTAACTATGAATTAATTTATTTCTATTGCTTTTCTTCTCACTCCAAGATCACAGCTAAACCTCTCCTCGTCAAAGCGGTAAATTCCCCTGAGGAGGTCAAAGAATTGGAAGAGCAGACTCTCTTCGCTCAGGCTGGCGTACTTTTTGAAGTAGTGTTGGATGGATTTGCGCAGTGCCTTAGGTTTGGCTGTTTTCAGCACCGAGCGTGGCAGGAATTTGTGAAATCCAACCTAATAATGATATTAGAAAAAATTGCATAAAAAGATTTCTTTAAAATTAGCAGACCCACCTCTCTTTCCAGATATTCAAGGTTGACCTTCTTGTCCAAAGACATGTTGGTCAAGTTGATGAAGTAGTACCTCATTTGCAGACAGCCTAATTGCACAGTCACTTCATGGTCAAGGGTGGTTGGAAGGTCTGCTGACAAGTAGTCGTGCCGAATCTGCCGAAGAGGAAATTTATTGATTAATGGGAATTTGAAAAAAATATTAGATTTCATTACTTGGTCGTAGTAGTAGTTAAATGTGACTTTGTCTTGCTCCCACAGGTCAGACATTTTCTTGGGCAGGTAACGGACTCGCAACTCGTACCTCCACTCGGAGGTCGGGTGTTTTCTTTCGTACTTTTCCTGCACCTGGTACATCGTTGTGTCTTGGTGCAGCCAGTAGATTTTGCCTGTTGGAGCGTGCTTGAGTCTCATCGCGTACAAATGCTCAAAAGCACGTCTCCCGTTGGCCAGTCTATTCGTCACTAATGATATTATGCCCTACAATTAAAAGTTAAAAGTAAAATAATTATTGAAAATATTGTAGATTAATTTTCCACCGACCTTGACATCGATGGCGTCATCGAACTTGACGACGTTGAAGCCTCCATTGGGCAGGTGAACTTTGAGGGTGCCCTTGTCCCTGTCCGGGCTGGCCACCCTGGCCGAAAGGCTGGGCGACGAAGGGGCTGCGGGGGCCGGGGACGGTGGGGCCGCGGGCGGCGTGCCCGGCCGTGCTCCCTCCGGAGAACTCATCCTCGCCGTGCCTTCATTTCTGAAACACAAAATTACGCAAATTGAAAATTCTGAAGCAAAGCAATTAATATTCCGAATAAGGCAGGTGTATCGTTTAGATCAGCACGAGGAAGAGAAAAGAATGTGATTTTGAATCGTTCGAAAGACCTTCCAACGCCAAATATGGAAATATCTCTGCTGCGATTAGCGTTTTGATCGATTGGAGCTTTTGCGAGATTCTCTCGGACCAAAGATGAAAAGCGACAAAGCACGACCGCGCTTCAGGGTCGATGAGAATTACCAAAAGAGTGCACTTGATAGGGAAGACACTGCCGCGTGTCCGGAATTCGCAAATGGGTCTCTCGGCGTTTTCAAAACAGAGAAGACGAGTGAGCGTGAAAAGCAAAAGCACGCTCCAAGTGCGAGAGCTGCCGAATAAAATCGATCGACCCGGAGCAAGAGGGTGTCTCCTCGGCCCTGCATCCCATGCTGCCACCCCTCCCCCCGCCCGGCCACCCCTATTAGACACCCCTTTGCGCGCCGCCGCGCTATTGACGCGTGCTCGTGGCCACTACATGTCCACGTGCTTGCTGACCGCACAGCGTTAATTATTGCAGCAAAAGGGTTAAAGTCGCCTCTTATTTGAGACTTTTAAGAGGCAAATTGCAGTATCATGATTGAAAGATAGTTAGTCTAGCTTCTCAGTTACTTTCTGAATTTAGGTAAATTTTGTAGTACAATTTAATTTATTATCTATTTATCATTAAACCTTTACGCCACGATGAAGAAGAAATAGTGCAATTTGATTATTTTAAATTTATATCTGTATGAATGTATCAAAAGTTCACCCAGATGGGATTAATAAATAAATAAATAAATTAATAACTTCCATCAGATATTAAATGTGTTGACGATTCAAAATTGTTCAAAAAGGCACGTTTATGGTTAATTTTTATTTTATTCATTGATTTATTTTTGAATAAAAAAAAATCTATATGTTGTTTTGTTGTGTTTAAATGTTTGAAAGGTGATATCACAATTTGTGCACGACTAAAATTAGTCATCAAGAATTAATTGTGCAATTTCTTTTGGAAATAATGATTTTGAAATATACTTGTAATAGTTTCCAAATTAATAATTAAATCTAACCATTTCTGTTAAAAATAATTAGAAATTAGACTTATTATTTTTTATGAAACCAAATGGCATAAAATTATTATTTAACACATCCAGTACTATTTAATAAAATTGTGATAATTTGCATTGATAATTATTTAATTGAAATAAATTTCAATTATTTCAACTCCTCTCATTTGTCCCAATTCATTTTCTTTGCTTGCCAAAAGATTCGATCTAGCAAGAGACAATTAAAATTTGTGAAAAGGCAGTCTACAGAGGCGTATGTGCTGAGGTTTTTTAATCTGATGTTGGCGTGAAATATTTTCCGTGGCGAAAAGTTAACCGACTCTCTCGCGTGGAAATGTTCCGCGAGTGCGTTCGCCTCTTCTTCTTCTTCTTATCCAAAGAAAACAAGTTCAAGATATATCATTGGTTTCGTGCAGCTGCCATTACCCGTGCGCTCTCACACCTGTGTCTCTTCCCACAGAAAGAAAGAAAGAAGGAAAACGCACTTTTATATTTGTATAAATTAATACAAAGAACTGCACGATTTATTATATTCGTTTAATTCGGAACAAAGGGTCGAATTCGGTGCACAAGAGGGAATTTCCCATTAGCTCTTCTCGGCTTTATTTCGAGAGCGGCGAGACGAAAAAAGAAGAGCTGCGAGCGCGAGTCGTCTTAAATAAAAATAAATAGCCCGGCCGCGGCACAGGCAGAAATAATAATGAATTTGGTCCACACGATGGTATTGTTGGAATTCTTTTCTGCGTAGAGAATTCCTCTGCGATTTTATCCTGCCGCCGCAATTTTAATTGCCACAGCTTCAAGTTGGAACATTTTTTCACCATTATAAACAAATTTAATTGTTATAATAAAGGAAGTGCAAAAAAAAATTTTTTTTCGGAGAAATAATTTTTAAAACGGTTCGAACAGAAGGGCGCTGGTGGTGTGTGTGCGTCCGAAAAAGAAGTGTTTACGGTTAATGTCCGCCTCGTGCAGCCGAGTGGCTATAAATATATTTTGAATTAAGAGACTGCCGCGGAGGCCCAAACCGTCTGCCTGACTCTGTTTGTAGACCGACTCGCGTACAACCAAGAAAGATTTTCGGCCACGATTTTTACCACAAATCTTCTTCACCTTCACTAGTTCGTCTGATTTCAATTTAATTCATTTTAAAACCTTGGATAAATAAAAAAAAATCAAATATATTAATTGCATTGAAGTCTAAAAGTAGCGAGAACTAAAAAAATTGAAACCGAGGATATTTTATTTTATTCTTATCAATTATTTCTACTACTTTTGATTGCATTTAAAATAATTTCACTTATTTAATATAATTTTAATCCTCCTTATGGTTTTTTTGCATTAGTTTTTAGTCTTGTGAATGTAAACTCTCATAGATATAGTTTTATGTTCTTTACAAAAAAATGGTGATTAAAATTTCTAACTGGTCAAACTGTAATAAAAAAAATCGCAAAAATTAATTTCAATTGTTGTAAAGACTTCTTGTGAATAAGCCAATACGGAATCCTTATAGTTAAAAAAAAAACACGCCGCAGGCTAAAATTTCCAAAATTCGCAAGATTCAGTCCTTTTCTTTATGGAAATATTATCTCCCAAAATAAAATTGTCCTTGATTAAGAATTTCATTAATAGCATCGTTTTGATTGATATTCGTTCATTGGGATTTCTATTACAACAAACGATGCCAAACAAATAAACAAAAACAAATAGTAAATATTCAGCGAAAAGCTTTGCTTTCATCTCGCCAAATAAACACGCGGCGTGTCCCAAATAAATTAGGATTTTCACGCGAGTGGTCAAAGCAGCCAAAAAAGCTGTCAACGAATTTACAACGGCCGCCAAGTTCAATGCCAAAATCGCGCAAGTTTAATATGCGTGAGTCACTTTTTCATCCAGCCAACGAGTTGAATATCTCGCTTCTCCATCTCACGTTTTCTCTCTCGCGCGTGTGATTATTGTTTTATTTTGGTCCGGGTTGATTTTTTTTTGTTTACACAAACCAGCATCGTTAACGTGTGCGAATTTTATACGCAAAAAGAAAGAAATTTCCACGGCGATAAAAGTGCAAGGTTGGGCGTCGGTTTTAGTGTATCTGTCGCGCGGTGTTTCGTGGCCTTATTAGTGCGGAATAAGCCGGTCGAACGAAACCGCCGTGTTCAAATACGCATTAAAATAAATTACACTGGGCGTTAATGCCAAATAAATTGGTTGCTACATGCCCGTGAAATTAAACACCCGCCGTAAATAGAGTACCACGAAACATAAAAAAACGAGCTCGATTTAGTTAGACCGAAAAGAGATTAAGGCATACAAATATTCAATTAAAAAACCGATTGATTCTCAACTGTAAATTAATTTCTTTTTTAGTGAGAATATCATGAAAATGAACGTAATAAGAATGCAAAAAATGAGAAGATTATAATTTTGAGAGATTTTTAATTTATCTTTAAAGTTAAAATTTTATTTCATAAATAAAAATTAATAATTTTAATTTATAATATAATATGTTTCTCTTGAAAACCAAAAATTTCAATTAGATGCTCATTTATTTTATAAATAAATAATTTATTTTTAACAATTGATTGTATTAGAGTAATTTTTATTTTTCTTTTATTATAATTTTTAATTTCAAAAGAATTATTGCTTAAACTTAAACAATGTTCTTATAAAAAACGATTTTATAAAAATATTATTAAAAAAATTCATTTTTTTAATAAAATGATAGCAGATTTCGAATCTTTATTTTAAACTTGAATACTGTTTCTTCCAGTTTATTAGTTTGGTGTCCTTTTAAGTTGGCGAAAGATGTTTGTGCCCAAACATTACGACAGAGTCGCCAGCAAGCACTAAAAAGATTTTATTCGAGTCATAAATCTGGCGTGTGGTTTGATGAGCCAAATACGCTCATCCCGCAGCCCATTAGATTACGGCTCGAGAGTGGCGAATTTTTTTCCTTCGCATTTATTCCGCACGGCGTGTGTGGTTTTAAATCCGACTCTCTGCTCTTTCTTGCACCCTGCGCGCAAAGTGCGATCCTCTGTTTGCACCACAAGAAAAGTAACCTGACTCACTTGTCGGTCCAACACAGACAGCACGAGCGCCGGCCCTTTTTTGCATTCGTCGAGCACTTTGCGAGAAACCAAGGCCGGCGCCGACTTCCTCCAAAAGCTGATTTGAATTCAGCACCAGCAGAGATTTGGCGAATTTCGCAAAGATGGGATTTGCGAAAAACATGAGCAGAAAAAGAGTCGGCTTGGAGTTTTCTGTACACAGCACGCAGACAGGTTGTTTGTTTACTTGAGAGGAAAGAAGAAGAAACCAAACAAGAAAATACAAACATGTGCGTGGGCGGACTCGCCATGAACACAACTTTTCTTGACAGCCTGTGTTTTGCACGAAATTAAAGAAAAATTAATCAAACAAGATTATATTTACGCCCTTTTATTTATATTTATTAATTTACTTGTTTTTAAACAAATAATAAAATTTAATAAAGTTTCAAAATTGGCTTTTTATTGTTTGAAATCAAGCTTTTCTCTCAACGTCTGTTTTCTCCTATTTATTATTTATTATTGACCGTTTTAGTACTTGTTGCGAATATAATCATTGATAACTTATGCAAAGGTCAAGCGTGCTATTTCAATTTGACGATTCTTTTTGTTTTCCTTTTTTTAAGCCTACCTTCAGAGTATGCAAATTAACGGCCCATTGTGTTTCGCTGCCTCTTTTGGAATAATCTTCATCAGCTGCGTGTAAGGCAGCGGATTTTATGAATACCGCTTAATATTTATTGGCCGTGACTTCGAATTTACAAAAATTGATTTATGCCGCCCGCATGTCTCTCGGCACGCAAAACCCACTCGTCGGTTGCGATTCATCACAAGCACCATGAAT